CCGCCTGAGACAAAACCCAAAGTCCAGACGTCTGGTGCCTTCATGGCTAGAGTTGTATAAGCATCTGGAAATTGAGCCCAGGTCTCCTGCGAGGCAGACAAGGCTTCTTTCTACTGCTTAACCGCCGGGGCCTCCAGCCCAGCACACGGGACAAGCTGATCTTCCGCTCAGAGTGGGAGCTGTTTGTGCCACAGGGCCAGCACACCTTCGACTCCTGCACCGTCCTGTGTTGTCCCTGGCAAAGTCCGGGGGAGGAGCTGTGGGGCAGGCACCAGGCTGAGCCACCACGAGTAAACAGCGGTGCAGTCCAAGAGGACTTTGCTACCTTCTTTCCAGGGCCACATCCACCTCTCTGGGATGGGCGGATAAGATGGTTCTTCAAGCCTTGCAGGCTCTGGGAGCAGCATTTAGAGGCCTGGGTAGGGCTCCGAAGCAAGGTTCCTACCGCGTCCCTTGCAAAGCCAGGCAAGCAGCTGCCATCCCCCAGCGCCTGATGTCCTTGCCCAGGGTTGGAGTTGTGTTAGGTTCCCTAAGCCAGTGATTCTCAACCAGCGTGTCCCGCCAGGTGTGCAAACAGGATTTGCAGGATAAAACTCAGAGATGTCAGGTAGGACTCCAGCGTGTCATGAACACTGACGTTGCTGTGGGCTTGCTGTTCTTTGCAACAACAGACTTGCTCTCTTATACTTCTGTGCTCAAAAAATGGTGAAAATTAGGAGCTGCCCTTTTCCCAGGGGGACCCTTGAGTCTGATACAGTTAAGAACTGCTCTAAGCAGCTTGGATGGAGCCAGACTCAGAAAAATGTGTCCCTAATGCCCAGGGCAGTCCTGCTACACCAGAGGGAGGGGAATGGAGTGCCCATCAGCAGGGGCAGGGGCAATTTGAGGAGTGAAGGACTTGCCTATCCCCCTTCCCATCCCCTGCCTGCCCCAAGCAGGGGTTCACCTCTGAGCTGCATCAGCTCTGGCAAGGTGATGTCCGACCACAAAGGCATGGGCAAGGTGGAGACCTGTCCACACTAGACCTGAACAGCCCAAGGGTGGCCAGTGGCAGTAACCTAGCGCCGAGCTGCCCCGGGGTTTACCAAGACAAGTGACTTGCAGGAGACCTGGGGCATTTTAAACATCTCTGCTGGGCTTTTCCAGGGCAGCTGGCCCCATCGCCGCAGTATTCATGTGTCTGATCTAACTGCAGTGCCCAGAGGTGATTTATGGGAACCTATAAGCCTCGACAGACACTAAGCCTAGACAGACAGACAGACACGGAGCTGGGACTTACAGAACTCTCACACGTGGCTTCCTTTCCAGCTTTACTAAGCAGAATGAAAAAATTATCCTTCTGAGGCAAGTAGAAAATTTAGGAATTATTAGTCAAAGGCACATATTCTAAAAAAATCTTTGTACATATATACATCTCAATTAATTATAAATACACATAGAAAAAAAAAAACAGGCAAACGACAAGCAGATTAAAAAGTGCTAACAAAAAAGGAAGGGGGGGAGAGGAAAAGGGACTTATTTAAAAAAATACATACAATCAGTAGGACAGCATAATAATTTAGTTAAAAGATATTGTTACATATTATTAAACCCTGACGCAAACACAGGATTGGGGGCGAGGGGAAGAATTTGCCTGAAGGTGCTCTGTCGTTTCCAGAGATGGGGCGGGGAGAATTGCATATATCTTAAAATTAAAAACAGCAACAAAACCACCACATACAACTCCAGGGAATGGGTTTCAGGGGTTCCCCCGGGAAGGCGTGACCAGAACCAGAGCACCTGGTGGTTATTCCTGAGTTTAAGCCTCTTTGAAATGGGTTTTTGTTGGGGGTGGGGGGTGTTATCCTTTTGCTGAGGGTTCGACAAGTGCCCGAATGGATGAGACAAGTGACATTAAATAAGGGCCCAGAAGCTCGGAGGGAAAAAGGGGTTTTCAAGGCTGTGCCCGAGTGTTGCGAATCTAGGGCATCTCCTAAACGGGCGCGGGTGGAGGCAGGGTTGTAAACAGAGCCCCAGTGAACCAGCACGTCCTGGCTCCAGGAGGGCCTGGGACAGGCTGTTCTCTTCCCTCCTGGGAAAGGGGTCAGAAGTCACCACGTCCTTGGGAACAGAGAAGCATCCGAACGCCAGGCAGGAGACGGTGGGAGGGTCGGGCAGGAGTGCCCCTCGCCTGTCACGCTTTGGGCTTCTGCTTCTGGGGGAAGGAGGGGGACGGTTTTTCTACTCTTTGGTGCTCGTGCAAGGTAAGGGGGTTGCCTGCAGTTCTGATCAAAGCCCCCAGCCCCAGGGAAAGGGGGTGTCAGCAAGGCCAGCCAGCCTGCCCAGCACAGCAAAGTCCAGAGGCTGCCACGATCGGATCAGGAGAAAGCCCTTCATCCTTCCTGGCCAGCACTGGGGCCTGGGGGAGGGACGGTACAGGCCAAGGTGGGCATCTCTCTGGAAGGGCTGCATGTGCTAGGGGAGGGAAGGGGAGAAGGCGGCTCCCCCGCCCCAGGCAGGAAGCAGCAACACTGCAGTGAGACATGTTTCAAAATGCTTGGTGCAGGTGGGGAGTGTTATCCCCATGGGACAAGATGGGAAACTGAGGCACCTGCAGGTCTAGGGGGAGGGGGGCGGATGAGGATGGGAATGGATATTCTCTGCTAAGCAGGAGTTCGCTCTTTGGTACTGAAGCTGGCACCTGCTGTAGCCGCTCAGCGCGGACGGCGCTGCTGCCTGGCTCTGCCTCGCTGGCCCCCAACCTCTCCCAGGCACAACCAGCGTAGGCCGTGCTGGAAAAGGGAGATCCAGACTCCTTGTGCTCCTGGAGTCGGGGCTGCTCTCCCTGCCTGCCTGGCAGGACGGGATGCTTGAGCTGGTGGGCGACAGGCTGTACAAGTAACGAGGGAGGGTCCAGGGGAACGTGACCTTGCCGAGCCCTCAGTGTGCCCAGGGGTAGGGACAGGGATGGGACCCGCGACCCCTCTGCTGCTGGCTGGCAGAATACTGATAACGGGGTCCCAGCAGTACAGAATGGGAGCACCCCACCGGGCTGGGACACTGCCCGCACCCCCAGCGGCTGTCAGGTCCCTGCCGGTGAGGGGCTGTCAGACTGGGCTGGGGGGAGCACAGCGCACTGGGAGTCGTCAGTTTAATGCGGCCCCCGTGCAGCCCTCTGCAGACAGGCACGCTCGCTCAGGGGCTCCACGCTCGGGGGTCTCTCGACCTGCCCCATCCTTGCCTCTGGGCTGGGCCCAGTGCCCGCCCCATCCCCTCCAGAGCCGAGTGCTTGGAGCTGAGCTCCGCAGCAAGCGCCTGAAATAAAGGCTGACTCCAGCTCACCTGACAGAACCTGCCTGGGATGGCTGGCAACAGGGGCTGGTCACTGGCTTGCTTCCCTGCCTGGTGAGTGGGGTGACAGCAGCTCAGTAGTCTGCGGGAAGGTGGCAGGGTCTGTCAGTGGCCCTCCTGGGTCGTGCCTGAGCAGGACTGTTGGAGCAGGATGACCGCGAGGCCGGGCCCCTCTGCTCACTCCCTCTGTCTGTCTCCGTGCAGGCGGCTGCCTCGTGCATAAACAAACTCTGCTCTGTGGAGCCAGAGCCTCCCGCCCCACTCCTGCCTGCGAGGTGTTCCAGGCTGAGGCCGGGGCTCCCCCCACTCCCAGCAAAGGACACTGGATGTGCAGGCACCAGGCACCGGTGGCTCAAGGGTCACCATAGGGCCCGCTGAACTGGATAACGCTCTGGCGCTCCTGCGAGAGCGAGCCATCCTGGGGAGCCACCGACAGCGTCCGCAGCATCTCCTCCAGGATCTCCTTGAAGTTGATGTTGGCGTCCAGCTGGGTGAAGTTGTCCTGTGGCAGTGGCGGGGCCTGCAGGTGGTCTGGGGCGGCCAGGGGCAAGTGTTCGTGCAGGGTGGGGTGGAGGGGCCCAGGGCCCCCTGGCAGCATGGGCATGGCAGGGCTCTCGTAGGCCGGGGCCAGGCCGAAGCCGTAGTGCAGCCTGTGCTGCTGGGGCGGTGTCAGGCCCGGCTCGGCAGGGAAGTGCAGGGCGCCTGGGTCCGGGTTCGGTGCCACGTCGGGAAGGCTGTTGCTGGGGGGGCTGTAGGTCAAGTCCAGGATCTCGTTCTGGCTGAGGGAGTGTCTGGGCAGGGGGGGTGGGACCTGGGTGAGGTCCAGCAGCGGGGACAGGAGGTGCTGGGGCAGGCCATAGGGCAGCCCCCTGTCCTGCGCCAGCAGCAGCCGCTGGTCCTGCTTCCGCTTCACGTTCTCGTGCATCTGCTTCAGCTCCTCCCGCACCTTGTACACGCAGCTCTCGGGGATCTTTATCCCTGTGGGGCAGACATGACGGGTGGCACCAGTCAGTTTCCTCAGTGCCCAAGCCCCCATGTCTAAGCTAAGGGAGCTCCATCCCCTGCACATCCGTGCCAATCTGAGGGGGCAGCTCCCTGCTTCCCTGCAGACATGCCCCTGCTGCTTGCTCAGGCCCAGACATCCAGGAGGGGCCCAAGCCTGGGGTCCCGGCACTGAGCGAGGTCCCAGCCTGCGCCACCGCCCCGCTGAGTGCTGGCACTGGGCTGGAAGTCACTGCGGTTTATCGGGCCGCGACTCGGGTGCCCTCACATCCTGAAACCTGAGGGGCCCCTGCCTGGATCACACCCTTGTGCTGAGTTTATCTGCCCTCAGGACAAGAGAATAAGACACATCCTGCCACGCAGCCACCCCACATGGCCCTTCTGCCCATACCTAGGCTTGCAGTACTGGCCTCATCACTCACCCACTTGCTTTTTCTTCTCCTTGGTCTTAAGGCGGACGATCTGCAGGTAGCTGGTGTTGGTGATGTCTGCCATGATGCTGGCGATCTTGCTCCAGACCCGCAGCAGGGCACCGCACAGCATGTAATAGTGGCGCAGACGCATGCCCTGGAAGCACTCCTTGCCCTCCTGGATCAGTTTGCAGTTGCGATTCCTTTGCCATCACACAGGGAGAAGAGCAGGGGGGTTATTGCTAGCTCCTGCCCCTGCCCCGTTTCCCAAAGCTTGTGGGCCCCTCGGAAGTAAGAACTAGCTGGCAGGAACTGCCCCCTGCCCGCCCCCAACACTGCAAGGCCTCGTGGTGTCAGAGCAAAGCCCGAGATGTTGGGAGGAGCTCCTCAGAGCCCACCTGAGCGGGGCCAGGCTGGGGCTGGGGCTTCCCTCGCAGCCCACGGCCCAGCGCGAGGAGCCAACACGGGCATCAAGCCAACCTGGGCAGGCAGCCGCAACCCCAGAGAGGGGGCTCCATCTGGGGAGGGAAAGCACTGCTCCCCCACAGCCAGGCCCGGGCCCTGGCCAGGCCTCACTCACCAGATGGCGTGGTTGCACTTGGTGAGGGAGAACAGGTAGTTGCTCTCCCAGTGCTCCTTGGCCTCTTCGGGTGACACCTGCAAAGGAAGCGGTCGGAGCAGCTCAGACTCTCCCGCTCTCCTGGGGCAGCGAGTCGGCAGCCCGGGGCTGCACATCAGGACACCTGGGTTCTACCCCCACTTTGCCGTGGCTGGGAGTGACCCTGGGCCGGTCATGTAAACGCAGGCCTCAGCTCCCCCGTTAACCAGGGAGGACAGTGCTTGGAGCAATGCCAGCCTGGGAAGGGAGGAGCACATGGCAGCCACAGGACACCCCCACATCTCCCAAGCACCAACTGCAGTGCTAGAGCCTGAGCAAATGGGAGCAAGTGGCACAGGCAGGGGCCACAGTGCAGGCCTTTGGCCAGGACACCCTCCGCAGTGCAGGGTGTGGATGGCCAGCATCTTCCCAGATGTCCCCCACCCATCTCCCTGGCACCTGCTAGGGGCCCAAGAGTTGCAGGCTGTAACAGGGCAGGGACCTGGTGGGAACCCCAGAGGAACACAAGTGGCTCAGCCTCATGCCAGGGCTGGGGCACAGGCACCTGTGCAAGGACAGGACTCAACCCTGCAGTGACTGAATGAGTGAGGGCAGCAGCTGGGTGTCAGCCCCCCACCTACCCGCCGGTACTTCTTGAGGAGGCTGTCGAGGCTTTCGGCTTGGCTCTGCTTCCCGATGTTGGGCTTGTAGAGGAGGAAGTTCTTGCCACGGTTCTGCTCCGCCAGCAGACAGGTGTACTTGGAGCCCCGGGCCTGTGGGTGCAAGGTGCACAGCTACGCTCACGTGTGTGGCTGGCACGGAGGGGTCCAGGTTCCCCAGGTACTGGCACCACTGGCATCCGCTTTCCCCAGGCCTTTCCCTTGGGGCCTTGCTGTGAGTGGCATGACGCACACAACAGACCAAGCCCTAGCACAGCCTTCCCTGGCCCTGCAGCCACCTGGGGACCTCCGGCCTGGCCTGCTTTGAGGCAGGTACGTAGTGCAGGGGTTGCCACCATAGCAGGCAGGACAGGGAGCGCCTGTGTACAGGGGGCAGGGAATTTCCAACCAGCTCCCTCCTCTGCTGACCTGCCAGCACACCTGGATCCAAGGCGGCTCAGGGCCAAGGCTGCTTCTATCACCCACTTGGGGATGGCCCAGAGACTCTCCTGGGGCTCCCGTGACCAGGCAGAGATCAGCCAACTGCTTCTGCCAGCCCCTGGCTGGTGCCTGCCAAACCAGCCCTTCTCGAGCTGGCATCAGCCCCAACCCTGTCCATGGCCCTGGCACCTCGCACTGCCTCTGGCAGCAAGCTCACCTTGTAGGAGAGGTAGAAGCCATCGTGGGTTCCTGTCAGTTTGAGAGATTTCTCATATGCGTCCTCCCACTTCATGCCCCTGTCGACACTGATCTGATCAGGACAAATATGTGGCATTATTTGGGGTAGGGGGGCATCGGGGTCTCCCCTCAGCCCAGCCATCCTCAACATGTTGCAAGGCCCCTCAGCCCCGAGACAGGCAACCCGGGCTTCCAAGGGATACAAGCCCAAGCCAGAGCCAGCCGCTGAACTACGCTAAAAGTGCCTGTGTGACTGCCCCAAGGAAGTCCGGGCTCTCACTGCTACAGGAATCTCTGCCAACCCATGGTACCCAGACCCTCACCCGGCTCAGGAAAGCAGAGCTGAGCACAATGCCTTCTTGATGCTCAGAGGCGGCACAGGACACTTCTACTGCTGAATACTTTAAGCCTTGGAAAGGGCGGGGGGAAAACCAGGGTGAGCCGAGTGCTTGGGGCAGGGGTCTTTCTTGGGATCTCATCCCCTCCCCTTTATTGTTCTGTCTCAGCTCCCTGCGGCAGGGAGAGCAACCTGGCCCCTCCATACAGCACCTATTACCAGGCACCCTGATATGTGACAGGGCTTTAGCTCTACAGGGCACAGGTGAACGGCTCCTTTCAGTTGCTGCATAACCCTACACCAGCAGCTCAAGCTAGGGTGGCCTGCTGGACAGCTGTGGGGCCAAGCAGTCTCAGCTGGGACTGCTGGGCAGGCTCTTCCCTGCACTCCTGTTTACCTTGTAGAACACGACCTGGCCATCCTGGGGGTGCCCGGGGGTCAGGAACATCTCCTTGCTCTCCTCGTAGATCTCATCCACTCCCGGGGCCAAGTCTGTGGAGGAGGCAGGAAAAGAATACACGCATCCGTCTCAGATCTGGGAGGCAGAGCGTGGGTGGAGGGAAGTGGCTTCTGGCTATGGTTCAACCCCTCCCCAGGGATTCCCCATGCCAGTGCCCTGCAGGTCAGCTCTGTCTGGCAGCTGCCAAGGCACCCAGCCAGGGTAAAAGATCCCCTGGCAGGTGATCCTCAAGCAGGAGGGTTCTTTGCATTCACTGGCAGGGATCCCGTGGTCAGGGGCTGGGCAGAGCTATGGGTGGGTGCTGAACAAACCCCGTTGTCCCAGAGGAGCCCCCAGAGCTCTGAGTAGCTGTACCAGGGACCTGTCCTGCTCTGGAGGAACCACCATGGTCCTTGTAGTGTCGTTCCCCATGCCAGCCGCTTCACTTGGGTCCAAACCCACAGCCAAGTGCCCTCCCTGCCCCACTTCATGCCCAGATCCAGCACACAGAGCCCTGCCCCCTACCCCACTACGTTCCCAGCACTGAAGAGCCCAGGGAGGGCAAGAGAAGCTGGGTTTGACAGGGGAGACTAAGGCAGAAAAGTCATTAATGCTTCCAGGACAGGACACCCATTGTCACAGGGTCAACAGAGCGGCCAGAAGCAGCATGAGCTGGACATGAGTGTAACTGTGCTGAACACTGACGGGCCAGTCGCAGCTAACAGTGGCTGGAGACATTGTAGAGAGCTACTGGCCACAGAGGAAGCAAGCAGGGAAAGTGGGGGTTGGACCTACACCCAGCTGGAGGGGTCTGGGCCCCTCTCCCCTCCCTACCGAGGATGCCCATGTCATATCTGCCCTCCTTCTTGTCCTTCTCGATCAGGTAGTCGAAGGTATCGGAGAAGTACTGGAAGAGCATGTTCTGCTTGTGCACCTCCAGGCCCAGGATGCGGTTCAGGAACTTGGTGATGGAGCAGTCTGCAGTGGTGGGGAAGAGTGTGGTGAGGGGTGGGGCAGCAGGCCAGTCAGCAGCAATGGCCCCTTTGTGCCCCACACCTCCTGTCTCAGTGTCGTCTCCCCCCCACCCCATCCTCAGTGCTCCCTACGTCCTGGCTGGCACCTGGCTCTGCCCTGCAGGCCGAGTATCTGTGGCCCTTGCGCATGGGATGACCCGACACTCACCCTTCTCCACAGAGATGGAGCCGTACTTCATCTCCCTGCAGCAGATCCCAACGGAGACGAGACCTTGCTTCATTTCTGCAATGACAGTGGGGGGCGCTCGTGAGCTGTAGCATGGACCTTCTTCCCAGCACACAGCAGCCCTGATGAGTCGGCCACTCTGCCAGCAGGCAAACCCACCTCCCTGAGCCAGCACCATCTGACTCACGTCCTGATACTGCTGCATTCTCAGCCTCAGTCCTGCTGCCTGGCCCCTTCCTTTTGTCTTCCCCACCCACTAGATGACAATGAATTGCTCCCAGCGCCATACCCATGACCCATACTCTGGCCCCAAACAGCTAAGGCAGCAGGCAGTGCCTCCAGATAGAAACCCTTCAGGCAAAGCCATCCTCACCATGGAAAAATGCAGCCTCTCCACCAGGATAGTACTTGGGCACGGGCACCTTGCTCTCGCCATGAGTGAGGATGGTGGTGAGGACTCTGTCCAGTGCTCTTGCCCCGTACTGCAGCAAGGAGAGCATAGTCACACAGGTGGATCTAACTGAACTCCCTCCTCTGCAGGGTGGAGAGGCCCTAGGGACAAGGTCCTTCCCAGCAGCAGGTGGGGAGCAGGAAGAACCTCCCACCGGATGCTACTGTAGTAAATGCAGCCCCCAGAGCATGGGCCTTGGGGGCCTGAGGGGAAACTTTGGGACCTGACACAACCAGGGGTCAAGGGAGCTCCTCTAAAACAATGCAGGCTGCAGAAGTGATGCCTGAGCACAGCAGCCTGCATGTTCTCACCCTAGCTCAGACACTGATGCCCTCTCTAGATAGGCAATCTCTCCCCTGGCTCCCAGTAGGACAAAGAGGAACAGTCTCCCCTCCCTGCCAGGAAGAACGAGGTGCTCTCAAGAGCTATTACACACTCCCAGTGCTGGCATTTTGCACCCATGCGGGAAACTCTGGTCCCAGCTCTCACAGGGCTGGACTAAGTGGTGATGGAGCCAGCACTGATCTCATCCTACCAGAGGGGTGCGCCAACTGCTCTCAATGGACTAGCTATGATAGCACGCGGAGCTGCTATAAGGCACCTTGTTCTCAAAGTTGTACTTGCTGAGGTCCCTGGATTCAGTGGCTCTTCGGTCTCCGTGAGTTAAGGCACCCTAGAAAGAGACAGCAAGCAGGAAACTTTTCAGAAAGGCTGGGGAGGAGGAAGAGCTCCGTCCTTAAAGATCAGTTAAGCCTCATGTAATGAACTGATTCCTCAGGTCATGTTTTCTGGCCACATCAACAGGTTGTACCAGATCAACCTCACCACTATTCCCAGGACTGAATGGGACTGTTAGGGATTAGTTCTTCCAGCCTCCCTGGACACATCCAGGACATTCTCCTACAGCCTCCTAATGCATCACATACTACATGGCTGGGCAGCCTCCATACGGCAGGTAGGTTGCCTGTCACCCTTATGTCCAAGGGTGTTTTTAATTCCAATGGCCTGAGCTGCTGTGAACCAACGGAGGAAGGATGATCAAAGCGAGCAAGGCTCAGCAATGCTACAGGCAGGCACCAGTCTGCTGGGATACAAACGTATTCTGCATTTGCCAGAAATGGTGATACCTGAGTCCAAGGTGCTGCCTGGCGTATAAGTCACTAAAGAGCCCATCTGATTTCCGGAAGGGAATGGGTGTGAACTCCTGACATGATGGGGGAATTCCAGCAGCTCGAATTACAGCCTGCTTCCCCAAATCCTTCCTGCCATCTCCATTATAGACTGCATTTGGCTTGGCTTCCTGTTCCCAGCTACCAGCCTGCTGGTAAGCTTCCTCCTTGCACCACAGAGATGCATTTTAGGGAGAGGTAATGTAATCCCTCGCACAAGGGATGTATGTGGGACACGGATACTTGGCAAATGAGCTGCTTTGGGAGGTTTCTGAGTCTCCCGCTGCTGCCCATCCCAGCACTTACTAGGCTCTCCAAGCGCTTGGCAACGATGGATGCGAACCTCCTTTCCCCTGCCAGCTCGGAGATCAGGAAGACATACTCTGGGGCAGAGACCTGGTTCGATCGGTGTGTTCGACCTGCCAGTGCAAAGGGGTGAATAAGGGAGATGAGCCTAGCCTGGCCTGCCTGGTGGGGAAGGAGCTGCTCTGCCAGTGACCAAGAGCAGTGGTTTGGAAACTGAATCCGTCCACGGCATCTCGGGGTCTTTCCCCACCTTGGTGCTGCTAAGCTCAGCCCCATCCCTTCTATCTTCCTCTGAGCCTGCTGCCCTGGCTTACCAGGGACCAGAGCATGTGAATATGCCATCCATGGAGTCCCCGTGTAAAACTGGGCTATACATGCACTCCTTTTATGTTCCAGGAACAAGGAGCTTGCTTCACCCTGGGAACTGGCTAGTGATCGGGTGCAGTGCTCGCTTTGTGCACACAGCACCACCAGCTCAGCCTGCTGTACCATGACCTGCTATTGCAGTCCAGTCCCTTACTCCTCTGCATGAGTTACACAGGCAGTCCACCCTCTCCACACAAGTGCTTCCCCTTCTTGTTCCAGAAATCCCCCAGTCCCAAGCCCATGTGGACTTTCCTGCAGCTCAACGCCAGCTGCTTCACATCTGGATTTGTCTCCGGGCTGGACACGTTCCAGGACTGCCCCACTGTGCTACTGGGCTCCCAAAACAGTCTGGGATGTCAGGCAAAGGCTGCGCACAAACCAAAGGCCTGACCCGTGTTCTACAGCTAACGAGTGGAAGGGAAGCGATGGAGAGCGCCGGGTTCTTACCGAATTGCTGGATGGCTCGATCTGCGCTCCAGGGCAATTCCAGTGTCATGTGGACCCGACGCTTCTGGTTCTTCACCCGCCTATCTGCTTGGAGGGAGATACCTGAGCTGGAGGCCTCGGAGATTATTGCTACAAGCTGCAAGAGACACAACCAGAGTGAGGAGTTGCACTGGAGTCCCCAGAGACCCGGGGTGTGGCTGCAGGGGAAACACCTGAGCAATCCCAGGCTGCAGGGTCAGTCCCATCCATGGGATCCCTTGCTGATTCCAAGCAGGGTCTGGCTCGTATTGGTTTTCCAGGCCCAAGGGCTGGCAGCGAGCTGCTGGGGGTGTGTAGAGCCTGAAATGCCTCCGCACAACACTGTGCAGCACCCACTTCTGGCTAATAGGAGCACAGCTTCTAGGCTCAAGGCTCCAGCTCAGCTCCCTCTGCCAGCAGGAGAGGGACCAAGTGACAGCCTTCAGGAGTGAGGAAACTCTAGCTGGCAGAAGGGTGCAAAGGGGAGGTGTAGAGGAAGGGAGGGGGAAGAATTCCCAGGTCCCCTCTTGCTCCACCTCACCACACCCACTCCCAGGCAGATGCAGGGCCCTGCTCACCTTGTCCCCATTCATAAAACGTTCCTTCTCCTTCAGATTGACGTGGTCTATGGAGAGGCCCTGCTCTGCCCGGGACTCAAACACGACCGAGCCGTCTGACCTGCACACCACCCGGCCCTTCCTGCCCGTCATCTGCATGGCCCGGCATGGGAGAGACAGGATGTTAATGAGACACACCCGTACAAACCCTCCCCGCCATCCCCAGAGAGTGTATTTCAGGGAAGCTCTAACAGTTCAGGAACTAAAGACTCAGGTGACAGCAATCGCCAGCAGCTGCAAACTCAGCCTGTGCAGCCAGTCAAGAGGGGGCATATGACGCTGAGGGCATGGGTACACCCCTTCCAGGGCTGGCATGGCAGTGCCCGCTCAAGGTGACATGAGGAACAACCAGTCTGGCTGCCCCTGCCCCACAGGTGCCCCTGGTGCCCAGAGACAGTTCTCCTGCCCAGGCTGCTATACCTCTGCCACGTGGTCCGGGCCTCCAAAGTGATTGATCAATTCATCCAAGGTATTGAGAGGTAGCTCTTTGCCCAGTGCTTTTACTTTTGCTAGGAGGTCCTGCTTCATCTTCTCCACGTGCTCGATCACTCCCAGGCTGTGCAGGTCCTTTTGGGAAGTTGGCAAGTGCAAACTGCCTGTAGGGGTGAAAAGCACGGGCTCAGAGTCCAGCCAGGAAGTGGCAAACATGAGATCCTGGGAGTGGCAACAGGCACAATCGCTGGGTGACCCCTATGGACCTAGCAGAGGAGCTGGCTGCTGTCACTCTCGCACACCATGTGTGGGAGAGCTTTCTCCTGAGGGCTAACATTTCGTATACACGTGCACACCCACACCCCACTGCCAGTTCCGATCAGAACAAGGCCTGCAAGCCATTTGTTTGCCTTTGGCATGTGACTCAGGGCTCTGCTAGCACGGGTGGTCTAATAGGCCCAAGAAGCCTGGGTTATCCAGCTCTTCTTGCCCAGTCTCTAGCAGTCACACAGACTGACTCAATGGATCAAACCCAGCTGTGACGGCAGAGCTGCTTCCACGGAGGGCCCCAAGACACCAAGAACACCAGCTCTGCATCAGTTCTCCAACCCTGCTGGGATGGCAAACCCCACCCCGCCAAAATACATAAGAAGAGCACTAGTTTGGGGGCTGGTATCTCCCATGTAGTCTGTCCCTGCACTGGAGAGGCATTGACCCCAGCCTGGCTCACCTCTGTCCTCGGAGGCAAAGCCGTTGTAGGTGTGCTCGACAAAGATGACATCGTCATTGTCGACCACAGACTCCGGGGAGGAGTTGAAGTCGCTGTCCAGCCCCACATCCGAGTCAGTGCTGCTGTCATCGCTGATCTTGATCACGCTGGAGGGGTCGTAGCTGCCCCGCAGGGCCTTAGCACAGCGGCCTCTCTGCTTCCCTGCGAGGGACAGCGAGCAGTGTGAGAGTGGGGGCCCTGTCCTCGTGAGGCAATGCACAGCAGCAAGCACTGGCTTGCAGAGAGGAGGCACAAGGGAGCAGAGGCTGCCCCAGCAAAAGGCAGATTTGAGACAGGGACAACTTGGAAGGGGAAGAGAGCGACAGAGAGAGAAAGAGCAAG